AGAAAATTGAGCGAGTCTACTGTCGTTCTTGGGAAAATCCCACTGGGATAAGACATAGCCAACAATGGAGCATTTTTTAAATTTCAAAATTTTCAAGCGAAAGTGTGTTGGGCTACAAAATTTGTCCAACTTTTAGGTTTATGTAGATTTTCAATCAATATGTGACAGATGGCATTGTGAAAAGATGTACCCGTTCAACCAATGCTTTAGGCATATGATGAAGATTGGTACCCAATATATGTGGTGTCACAAGTAACTCGATTAGTTTGGATAACTATACGTAATGGGATTGCCCCTAATTTTCAGAAAGGGACAAACTGGAATTTTTCATGTTGGCGTCTTGTCAAGGACATCAACATCTTTGAATGGACTGGACATCAACATCTTTGAATGGAGGAGAGTGTCAAAAGATGAATTTGTTCTTGGTTTTGTGGAAGGACTTGGTATCAACGATACTTAGCCATGATGGATGACATTTTTCGAAGAGGGTTTAGAGTTCAAATAGTTTGCAAGCCTAGAAGAGTGAGATAGTGCAGATGCAAAAGAGCTAAGGTGGAGACAATGTACACTATCTTTAGTGTACTCAATATCAAAGATGACGTTGAAAGATTGAATGGGAGAGAATGTCATGAACTGCAACTTAGCATGACACTAATGCGTGTGACCTCGGGGACAATGGGAGAGCTTGGCTTGACATGAATTCAAAATTAGCTGTAATGGCAATCTATTTGGTTAGAAAATAGAGGGATCAAAGGCCACATCTTTAGGTGATGACATTGTCATAATTTCAATATATTTCTAGGGCAATATATGAACGATTGTTTATTGTTTGGATGTGGAACTTTGTGAACTTTAGATTGAAGAATTAGCTTCAATTTGGATCAAATCGAAAATATTACTTGTGAAAATTAAACTTCCTCGACTAAACGACGTCTATTGGTATCACTAAAATTTTTCTTACTAAGTCGATTATAAGGCGCATTTACTGAGCCAGCTAGTCCTCCCCGTGATTTCATCCTAGCAAAGGGTCAGCCTGTTGGCAGCATTGGAATACAAAATGAGCAATCCAATAAGGGTCTAATTATGTGCCTTTAGGGAGGGCTAAAGTACTTGTATGGGGCCGAAAAATTGTGGAGCAACGTTAGGCCTTCATTGGGGACCTGAAGGCCACAAAGGTCAATGATAGAGCATTCTTATGCTCTGAGGCTTAAGTTAAAGACACGGTAACACCTCTAAACTGAATTGGCTTTCGAAGATAGCATTCTAAAGGCCTCTTATGCTAACTCGTGCACATTAGCTATGTGTCCTCGCATTGTTGTGAAGGTTTGTTAGCTCTTTATTAATGGATGGCCCTACTTGAGCTAGGCATCGATGAAGGGATTTATAGCTAGGAATGAGTTAAAATGCTTGTAGAAAGTGAAAAGCACAAAGATTGCATTGTTGGGGGGCGGGGGGTGGTATGTAAATGATCCTTAATGCTTCGTACGAGTTTAGGAGAAATTCTTTTCATCGAATATGCATCAATAAGGTCATATTTTCACACGAGGATATGGTCAAGTTAGAAGATGTGAATTGCTAATAGGTGAGTACGGTGCAAAGATATGTTCAGGTGTTTGCATGTAAGATTTGTGGCGAAATATACAATGGGTCATGAGACATAAAAATAGTACTACTAGAGATTCTAAGAGTCGGCCCATGACATGTAGACACGTTAAACACTAGTGGTGGTACATTGCATTTTACATACTCCATATTGGACAAAGCTTAATTCAAGTTGG